GCTAGATTTTCTACAAATATCAATATTGAGAGGCTTTATCCACCTTCAAGAAATGGCATTTTTTTCTTGATCCTCAATAAAGAAACTAAGCTTTTTTTTAGGCAGAAGAGAAATGCTACTCACAAATTTTGAATTTTTTGATAATTCCATTTTTGAGAATTCTTTATTAATAAATATATTCTTCTAATATTTAAAATATACCTGCTCCCTTTCTACACTGTATACCATGCATTTACACGAGTAATAATTTCCTCAATTAGTTCTATTTTTAGGCATAACATACTTAAGTTGTGGAACTACTTACCACCAATATTTGAACATGGTTCTTAGACACTTCAGCAGACCTTCTATCAAACAAAGGTTACAGATCACTCTTAAATTAGAAAGAAAAGAAGGAAATATTTAAAAATTCCCAGACATCAAAAGTTTCTAAGTTTTAAAAGATGAATTATTTGTACTTTTTCCTATTTAATTCAGCTATCCCCTAAAAGAAATCTTGGGTGAAAATGTCAAATTATTAATAAAACATTTGAATTCTAATCAAATATAAAATTTCTCCTACTCACATACTAAAGCAACTTGGAAATGACAAGTGAGTATTTGCTTTAAGAAATAATCAGTCAGAATAGTCTATATTTTAGGACACCATGAATTTTTTAATTAGGTATAAAATGACGATCTGTTTATTCTTGGCAAGATACCTTTTTTACTTTGCAAAGATTAAAAAGAGAAATTTTGGGTTTTACTTTTTAATTTAACAAAATGTTATGATGTTATTCTTCAGCTTTGCAATGTGCATTTTAGTTCATTCTAATGAAGACAACTTCCTCTCAAATAGGAGTGTCCCATTCATTAAGTGAGACAGATGGCAGCCTCACCATTTTGTTAGATCCAGTTTCTTGATGCTAGCTGCCTCCCTTATTTAGGTCTATAGGAATAGCAGGGTTTATTTTTCTGAGAGCAAAAGCAAAGAAGCCAATATTTTGCTAGGGCGAGTTGCCTAGTTGTCTTCAAAATAAGTGAGCCAACCACCTTCCAGATTTAAAGTGGTATGAACATGGATTTTCATTTGAGGGACATGTACCCTCATGTTATGTGGCAGGCAGAAGGGTAAGATACTTGGCAACATACTCGTTTAGAGATTTTCCTAAGAGATGTTTGAGATTTCTCTGGTGTGGACTGTTCCACACTCTAACACATTTTCTGACCTTCGGTAATTCTCTTGCTTTGAAACATGACTAGAAGCTCTAATAAACAAAAGCTAAGCTGAACAGCGTCTCAGCTACTTGTGGTGCCACACGATGTCAGCCAAAGACACTCAAGAAAGGGTGAGTCATTTACACAAGATAGAAGGCACGGCCTGGGGAAGGTTTGTCCAAGCTTTATGAGACTCAATGCTAAGGTGGCTTAAAGAGGAACATTGGCTTTCGGTTTTCCCTTCTACATTCCAAGTCAGCGCTAGAGGCTAAAGGGCAGCAGATATCTCATCTTCAGCTTTACCAAGATCACTTCTGAGGAGAGCTCTTAACCTGGAGCTGCACTATCGCTTAAGATGGTAAGATTCTGGTAAATGAATTCAGGCTAAGTGATGCGTTCATTTTCCCTTGCACTGACCAGACACACAGTTGCATATAGAGAAGCCAAGATGTAGCAAGAATATATAGTATGTAGAGTGAAAATGTCTTTGTTGAAAACCCTGGACATGCTCAGTGCAGACTGGATTCTCTAGACAAGGAGGCAAAAGCAAGAACTGGAAACACGCACACCCGTGGAGCAGCAACCGTGATGGTATCGCGCTGGAATTATCCAGATTAACGGGTAACTGCCAAGTGTTATTGCACAGCTCTACACTTCTTTTAATCCCCTTGCCTTAAGTAAGCAAAGCCTCTAAAGAGTAGCCAGGAAGATGAGAGGCAGGGAGAAGAAAAGAGAGCAGGAGAGGAGGTGGGAGAGAGATCTAACCTGTTTCTGATGAGTGGTAAATTTTCCAGAACTTTAAAACAATCACTATAGATTGTTAGGGTTGGAGATTGAAACGGTTGTAACTTCATCACTTAAGAGAAGGAAGATTAAAAATAAAAACACATATACTGTATTACGTAGTTGCCTATATTGAATATTCACAGAAAAATCGCTAGTGTAAGGATTTCCTCCTCAAACCTGCTATCTGCATTTAGACAAAGTTTAGGACTCTGTGGTGCATCCTAGAAGTATGTACAAATTCACAAGAAGATAAAACAAGAACAAAAGTTACTCTTGTATTATTTTGTGAAATGTTAACCATGTTATTATTTGTGTGTATGTGTGTGTGCATGAGGATAATGAAATGATAGTTTTAAATATTTGAATATTAATTTTATCCCTCTGTCTTACTGATTTTCTACATTTTTAATATTATTTAGCTTTTTCAACAATAATAATAATTGCAATACCTATTAGTTTTGGAATTTGAATATAAAAGGTATTTTTTAATTAAAAATGCAATTTTTAGTCTGCATTATTTCTAATTGTTTAAACATGGCCAATTTTCTTCAACCATTTTTTTTTTTTTTTTTTTTTTTTGAGACAGAGTCTCACTCTGTTGCCCGGGCTAGAGTGTCGTGGCATCAGCCTAGCTCACAGCAACCTCAAACTCCTGGGCTCAAGCGATTCTCCTGCCTCAGGTTCCCGGGTAGCTGGGACTACAGGCACACGTCATCATGCCTGGCTAATTTTTTTCTATTTTTAGTTGTTTGGCCAATTTCTTTCTATTTTAGTAGAGATGGGGTCTCACTCTTGCTCAGGCTGGTCTTGAACTGCTGAGCTCAAGCAATCCTCCTGCCTCAGCCTCCCAGAGTGCTAGGATTACAGGCATGAGCCACCATGCCAGGCCTCTTCAACCATTTTTTAGGAAACAGAAGAGTCTGTTGTTTCTGTGGGCCTTTCATAGCTCTTGAGAGGGTAGCAAGAGCTCTGGACAGGGTCCAGCTTACTGTTCTGACATTACTAATAATCACTGCCTCTCTTAATTATGGAGTGCTTCACAGTTTACAGTTTTTTGTTTTCATCTAATCCTCACCTTATCCTTGGGAGTTAGGGATCATAGTTCCACTTCATAGATGAGGAAAGCTTCAGAGCCGAGATGTCAAACATAAGGCCACGGTGGTGGATTGGGGCCCAAACCCCAACTTTTGCCCTCCCTGTTCTCTGTCCTCTGGCTGTGGCTCTTGCCCCTCTGTACAGATGCAGGGCCCTGGACAAGGTCACTAAATCCCCTAGGCTTCAGGTCCCTCAGCTGCAGAGCAGTGGCTTGGATTCCACCATTTACAAGGGCCCTGCTATCTTTCCTTCATTTTGAATTTGGGTTTATTCAGTAGGATGAAAAGGGATGGGGGTTAGTGGGTATCAGCTGACCCAAAGGGCTTTATCCATGGGCTAGTGAGTAAAATAGGCCTCCCGAAAGCCCATTGGGGTTGTCATGACCTTGGAGGAACCAGGACAAATTTTGTTGCATTAAGTTCTGATTTTTAAACATGAAATCTGTGGGCTCCAAAAGAAGAAGTGCGGGGGAAGGACATTTACACACATACAAAAATTTGTAACGATTTTAAGTGGTGTCTAGACTGACTTCTTAGAGATTCATGGACCAAATTAACAATCTCTGTTCTAAATAGTATGCTTTGGCTGCTATACAAAGTAAGCACAACTTATTTTCATGTAGAAAATAGTGATTGAGAAATATGGAAATGATGATGTGAAAAGAGTACATCCTTTATGTTGAGAACAGACAAAATTAATCATGCTGATAAAAATTAGCACAGTGGTTGTCTATGAGAATGTGGGAATTGATTGAAAGGGGGCATGAGGGAATTTTCTAAAGTATTGGAAATGTGCATTTGATTGAGGCATTGGTTACATGGGTGTGCACATTTTTCAAAACTAATCATATTTTGCCCTTAATATTCATGAATTTCACCATATGTAAATTTTATTCCAATTGAAAAAAAACCCAACTGTGATGTGTTTTCAAGACAGTCCATTTTTCCACAGAAAATTATATTTTCCATATCATTTTCTTGGTTATTGGGATGGGGTAGGAGAAAGAAAAGTTGGTGTTGCTCAAACATAAATATCTTCTTTAGAAGTATTTATAGAGAATCCCATCATATTTTCATGCTTGTTTTGAATATACTAAGAGCAAAATTCCTGACTGCAGACCTATGGCTGTGATTTCTGTCCCACAAGCTCACGAACTGTATGTGTAGATCTGACGCCTGTGTCGGGAGTGGGATAAAGAGTAGAAAATATGAACCTCAGAGACACCCACATTCCCTCCAGAGGGGAAAAGGGTTCTACTAATCATTTGACTCTTCCATGCACCCAGTATATATATATACACACATATATATATGTGAATACAGGAAGAATGAGATATCATGCACAAATCTAAAAATTTAGATTGCCATAACACTGTTCTGGGTTTTTAGAAGTCAAAAACAAAGAAGGACTCTATGTTTTGTCATGTGGTATTGAAAAATGATCCATATTCAGTCTGAAAGCTGGATCCATTATTTGTACTCATTTATCAGTTGTCAGAGAGTCTGTCTTTGTGTCCGCCAACCACAGATGATGTCTGCTAAGGCAAATGCATCAGGCCTAGAACACCGTCAGCAGTCAGCAGTACTGACTTAACATCTCAACAAGACATACTGATATTTCTTAGAATTGACCCTAGAAGGTTTTTAACAGAATTTTTTTTGTTGTTTTGCATGCCTCACATTAAATATTGTTAGAAAACTAAAAACCATTTTTTTTACAAGTGTTCATATAAGAAGAAAATGACTAAAAAAAACATCCACCCAAGCACCTAGAACTCTTCTAGTGAACAATGCTAATAATTACATAGGCTGTGACCAAAGAACTCCATGATTTGTGGGAAAGCAGGGAGGCACAGTCCAACCTCTGGAAGGAACAAGATGCGTGTCGGATCCCTGGAGGCGCTGTCAGTGGTGCTTTTCTCCCTAAGTCAAGTTCAGCAGCCGAATTTCAGAGTCGATGGCATTACTTATTTCGACCTAAAATAGAAAATATGAATTGCTTTAAAGAACTTCAAAGTTGAAAACTAAATAACCTTTCTGTTCATCCAGGCATTTTGAAATGTGAAATAGCTTCCGGATACATCTAGTGCTGTCTGATTGCAGTAATAAGAAAGCTAGAAACTTGGGCCTTCCTGGTTTTCAGATAGGGCATGGTAATCGTGGATTGATTCCGTGGAGGAGGAGTGCCAACCACACAGCAATTGCGGGGTGATGTGGAGTAGTTACCATTGGTTGCCTTGGGGTAAAGATAAGAGGGTAGAATTATGTTTCCAAACTCCTAGATATACCCCTAGCCTATTCTTCCTACAGCATCCTATTGGTTGAATGCTCAAAAACCATCCTGCTCTGGCTTTCATACCATCCAACCATCCACCTAGGTCCCTTACATACATCCCATCCCATGATGGTTAATGTCATGTGTCAACTTGGCCAGGCCATGGTCCCCAGGCATTTGGTCAAACACTAGTTTAAATGTCACTGTGAAGGTATTTTTTAGAGGTGATTAACATTGAAATCAGTAGACGTTATTTTTTCTTTTTAATTTTTATTTCAGGCTATTATGAGGGTACAAACATTTTGGTTACGTTTTATGTCTTTGCCTCACCCAAGCAAGGATTAGAAGCATGCCCTTCCCCTCTACAATGCTCACCTCATCAGGGACTGAGGTCCCTGAGAAAGTGGGAATCCTGCCTCCAGACTGCCTTTGGACTAGAGCTGCAATGTCACCTCTTCCTTGGGGCTCCAGTCTACCAGGCTGCCCTGCAGATTCTGGATGTGCCAGCCCCCATAGCTGTGTGAGCCGATTTCTCTCTCCCGGTTCTGTTTCTCTGGAGAACCCTGATACCACATTCCCATCTCCAGTCACTCTTGTCTCGGACAAAGACTCTGCATTTTCCTTATTTTCTACTAAGCCCTAAGTCTCTGATAGGGGAGGACTCTGGCCTGTGGATCTTTGCATAGTGTCAACCTCAACACAGTAGCTGCTGCATAGTTGGCACTTAATAAACATCTGTTGAAGACTTTTGCTCTCATTGTTTCTCTAATGTGAAAAACTCTTAGCTAACCCAAATCCTACTCACCGGTGACGGTTCAGTTGAAATTTCTTCTCCTCTGTGAAGACTTCCACTTCTACCTCAGCCATATTGCTTTCTCATCCTGCTAATAGCAACTCTCACGCTATCAGCTGTTCCCCGCATGCAGCTAATAGCATCCAGCTTCACAATTAATTGTGATCTAATTGGTTCACTCAGGCATGTAAGCTTTCTCCTTCTGACTAAATTACAAGCATCATTCCAATAGAGACTGTGTTTCCCATTCATTTCATATCCCCATCTAGCAACTTCTCCTCCACTAACTCAGTTCAATGACTCTATGGCTTCGAGTGGAATTTTTAGTCATAATTGGAAATAGTGGAAAAAATTTCCAACTTTCCAACTTCACTTTTTGTCTGCCACTCTTCTCCCTGCAGATTCCGCTCCCTCCTGCACACCTCGGGACTGAGGTCCTCCTGTTCTCTTCCTGTCTTTCTGGCTCATTTCCTCCCTCATCTATTTCTCTACCTTCTGAGTGACAGCCTAAATGTCTACTTCTTCAACCCCCTGGCATTTTAACAGGGATTTAAACCGAAAGATAAAAGGATGAGATTTTAATGTTGGAATTCTATAGTTTTACACAAACTTTAAGATAGAAGGGAGATTCCGGGTCCTAAAGTCCATCCATCCGTCAAACAGGTGACTCCCTTTGAGGTGAGGATGAGGCTACAGGACAGGGTGTTGTTCTTTGTTAGTGGTAGCGTTGGCGGGGGTGTGGAGGAGCTTCTAGGTATCTGCTACGTTTATCTTTTATGTCAGTTCTGCTTCTAGCTAATATTTTCCGCTTCTGGGCTTCAGGAACCTGGACTGGTAAAGCAGTGAGGCAGGCTGAGCCTGTTCCTAGGATGCCAGGTAGGAATTCTGGAAGTGTTGTTTCAGGCATTGGGAAACATGTCTGTGAGGAGTTTCTCAAGAAGATGGTGAAGCAACTTTGAGAGGAGGCATTGAAAGGCAAGCCTGTTGACAACCTTGTATTAAGTTTTATTAACAGATTGATTTTTTAAAATATCAAACATACACAGAAGTAGAGAGAACAGTAGTATGAATCCCTATACATTCATCACTGAGCTTCAACTAAAACAAAATTATGCTGTTAAAGTTTTACCTATCCACCACCACTTTTTTTTTTTTTTGGCTAAAATATTTAAAACCAAATCCCAGACACTACGTTATTTCATTCACATCTCTGTGCATCATGAATGCAGTGATTCTTAACCAGGGAACATTTGCCAATGTCTGAAGACAGTTTCGCTTGTCACAACTTGGCAGGGAGTGATGCTCCTGGCATCTAGTAGGTAGAGGCCAAGGATGCTGCTAAATATCCCACAGTGGGGCAGACGCACTACAGAGAATTATCGGGTCCAAAGTCAGAAGTGTAGAGGTTGAGAGAACCTGCTCAACTGGTAAGAATTTCTTTCTCTTCTTTTCACCTTTTCATTAGCATACCTATTAAAATCAACAGCAATTTCTCAATATCATTTAATAGCCAGTTCATATTTACATTTATCCAACTGTCTAGAAACAGCTCATTAAAACTGGCTTGTTGAAATTATGTATGTATTGCAATATCATTGTGTACCCCATAAATATGTACAATTACTATGTCTCAAAAAAGATTTAAAAAACAAACAAGGTCTACACATTGTTTTTGACTATTGTGTCTCTTAAGTCTCTTTTAACCAATAACAGTTTCCCCTCCTTTCCTATTTTTTTAAATTTTCCCTATACAATTTCCCATATGCTAGATTTGTATAATTGCTTCTTTGTGGTGAGATTTACCTTATTCTACTACTCTTGTATTTTCTACACTATCAGACCAAGGTCAGGCTTGACTTCATGGAAAGATACTTCATAGGTGGTGCTGTGTACTTCTTACTGTGCCACATCTTGGGACACATAATGTCTGGTTGTCCCACTTTTAATGATGCTATGATTAATCAACGTGTCTGGGTAGAATAGTTTGATTTTTATTTTTGGAATCCTTAAGATAATCTCCCTCTTTCTTTTTTTATTATTTGCAGATATTTTTAGATATGTTAGTAGTTACTTGAAAATACCTATCCTCAAGGCAGAAGAAATCAAGTATGTCTTCTGATAGGACTATAAATATTTATTTTTCTATTGCTTTTCTAATCTCTTCTGGTGTGTCTGTGTGTTCACTTTTCTCTGCCTATTGTGTGTTGTTTCCTATGTCTTGTTTCTTCCCAGAACCTGTCATAACATGGGGATTATAACTATTTTCTAATGTGAACATGAAATAAAAAAGTATTTAGCATAAAATTTGGTTATACTCATTGCCTTTAATTTTAAAATCAGAGGATGCTTTCTCTTGGAAATAAGGCAAGATGAAGTTATTTTTACTTATGTTGCTGTTGATCAATTTTTGGGGGTGGTGATGGACCACAGCTCCACACCATTGCATGAAGCTATTGTCTTGCCATTGGCATCAATGACCAACACCAAGAGAGGTCCTGGGAGTTCTGGGAAAGTCAGGAATTGACATTATCCCTGGAGGACAACATTCGGATACAGGCTTTCTCATTCTGGAAAAAAGACTTCATGTGTTCGATGACGCAGCATGAGAACCAGGCTCCATAAAGTTTTAGAGTTAGAGAGTGAGATCACATGTCAAAGGAGATGATCTCTGTGTCCCCAGTGAGAATAGGGTGGATAACTGACCACTGGCCATGGCAGACCTTCTTGTGTGTGTCCAGCTGCACCGTTTATAGCATCAATACTTCCTAGTGAAAACAGTGGTGCACAAACTGGCTGCTCTGGTGATGAGTCTGGACTGCACAAACCATATAAACATGGCCAGTCCATAGCTACATGGCCAATGACGACACTCAGGATGTGTTCTTTCAGTAGTCCCTGAAATGGTACAACTATTCTCATGATGGATCAAAAAGTTATTAATGCCAATGACAAAGGGAAAGAGCACCAAAGCTAGAGACAGCAATGAGCCATAAGTGCCACCAAGTCTGTGCTAAGTAAGGCAAACACACAGGGAAGCCCATCTCTCCTTTGGAAGCCCAACTAAGAAGGTGCTGAGTGCATTACTGTCATAGTGCTCTTGAGACAGTCCCAGAGAATCAATGCTTCCATAAGTGCTTCCATTCCCTGGGACCGATGTGACCCCCAGGCAACAGAACTCCACACTTGGTAATGGGAACAGTAAGGCAGCAGCCATTGCTAGGAGCAGATCACAGTCACCCCACCCTGCGTGCCACAAGCGACAGCCAGCATGCAGAATTTTATATAGCTCAGCTCCCTCTCTGTCTAGATAGATATTAAAGTGTGAAAGCCAATCAAGGACAAGTGAAAACAGCATTAGGACAGAGAGTTATCATTTTATTTGTCTTTAGGTGTCTCCAGCCGCAGTTTACTAACACACGGCTGGTGATTGTTGGTTTTTAAATTAGGATTTGAAAGCACGCCTTACACCTCCCCAACTCCTGCATGTGCACACACCCCACCCAAACCTGATTTGCCCTACTTGCTCGTGCTTAATCTAGATGCTGTGTGTGCAAAATGACCTGACACCAACTTACTATGAAGATACTGATACAAAACAGCTGTTCTCAGGAAAGAGCAGATAGAGGTGACCACCTCTGCATCTGTCCTACAGCCTGACCATCCATGGTAGCTCTCCTGTGGATCTGGACCTTAGAGACAGACAGCAGGCAGGGAAGGCACCTGTGGAGCTGGCTGCAGCACCAGCCCCAACCAGGGATTAGCCTTGTGTGCCTTTCCGGTACTTAGCTGCAATAGCAGCCAACTCGATCAGCGGCAGCCACATAGCATGTAGCGATTTTTGTGAAGAAAAATTAGCCTCCAGCAAAGGCAATCAGACAAGTCAAGATACCAAAGAAAAGTCAAGTTCTTATTTGGAAGCCTTAGAAAAAGATTTGCTAAAAGTGATGGGGGAAGCTCGGGGTCAGCTTTTCTCATCAAGTCTTTCTTAACTGCAGTCATGGGGCATCTTCCTCATGGAAATTTCCGACATCATCAGATCTAGCCCTACCTTTGCCGTAGAACTCTGTCGTAGAATTCCAGCTGCTGTCTTTCTTTGATAAACGGCCTTGATCTGATTATTTTTATGCGAAGAATTACTGCTACATGGAGCTTAATCTTCCCACTACCCAGTTGCTAACCATTTTGATGGAAATATACCAGTTGTGATTTTGACAAACTTCAATTTCATTGCTCACTATGATGTTCTCTGAGATTCCACATCTCTTTCACAGCGGTGTGGGTTTATGCCATGACATTTTTCCTCCTGAGGCGTACGTCTGCTTTTGTTAGCCCTCTCCACTAGAAGCAAAAGTGTGGGCATCTTTGTCAAAGCCACTGCTGGCCACTTGGACGCTCTGCGTTCTTGTGGAAGAGGAGTCCTTGCTCTCTCCTCCCAGGAGAGGCACTATCAGGGAGTGGCAGCAGTGATGGTGGAGACCCAGGTTGCATTTATAGCGAGAGTTGCGCCCCCTGGCTGGCTGCTGTGGTAAGACGATGGCCCCCAGCACAGGCTACCTCCACCTGTGTGTCACATGTCCCCAAGTCAGGCCCAGACGGCAGCCACTGAAAGCACCTCCATAGCTTTAGGCACAAAGAGTGAGTTTAGATGGGCGAGCAATGGTGCTGAAGGTCTCTTAGCATCCTCACCAGGAGCTAGTAAGACTCCTGCTCTGTTTGAGATTTGCTTCCCTACAAGTTTGCTTATTTTGTGTGAGAACTATGGCAAACACCAGATTGGATAGTCATGAGCTGCACCTTTGTCCTCTGTGGAATGGCTGAGCGAATCAGCCTTCATGCTGGGGACACCTGTTTTCTTCTGCTTTATTTTTTCAAGACAATTTTTTAGAGCAGTTTTAGGTTTGTAGCAAGATTGAGAGGAAGGACAGAGAGTTCCCATATACTCCCTGCCCCTGCACCTGCACAGCCTCCCCTATTATCAACACCCCCCACCGAAGCGGTACATTTATTACAATTGATGAACCTACATTGACACATCGCTATCCACTCAAAGTTTACATTAGGGTTCGCTCTTGGTGTTGTGCATTCTATGGGTTTGAACAAAGGCACAGACATGTACCCACCATTATAGTATCACACAGAGTAGTTTCTAAACATCCTCTGTGCTCTACCTATTCACCCCTCACCTTCCCCAACCCCTAATCTTTTTTCTGTCTTTTCCAAAATGTCATACAGTTGGAATCGTACAGTAAACAGCCTTTTCAGTTTTGTTTCTTCCACTTAGTAATGTGCATTTAAAGCTCCTCCGTGTCTTTTCATGTTGTGATAGCTCATTTCTTTCTAGCACTGAATAACATTCCGTTGTCTGGATGACCATGGTTTGTCCATTCACCTACTGAAGGACGTCTTGGTTCTTCACCAAGCTTCAGCAATTATGAATAACTGCGATAAACATCCATGTGCAGGTTTTTGTGTGGACCAAATTTTCAACTCCTTTGGATAAATACCAAGAAGCTCTCTCACTGGATCATATGGTAAGAGTATATTAGTTTTGTAAGAAATTGCCAAACTCTCTTCAAAGTGGTTCTACTTCTGCTTGGATAAACTCCATATCACCTTACAAAGTTAGCTCAAGCATCATTTCCCAGTGAAGCCCTTCCTCACCAAGTGAGAAGTAACCATTCCTCTTTCTGCATAAAATTGTCCTGGGGATATTGTTTTGCATCTATTTCTATGTAGGTCTCCCCTCCTAGATCATTGGTTATTGAAGGCCAGAGCTCAAGTATTATTTATCGTTATATCTGCAGTACCTAGGACAGTGGCTAGGAAGTAATCAGTCGATGATTGTAAATTGAACTAAACTGATTTATGTAATGAGTGATCCTTGAGAACTTGATATCATTACATTAAAAAGAAAGAAGAAAAGCATGAAAGACCAAATCCATCTGTGAACCACCTCATCCCTATCACAACCCCACTGCCAGTGTACACACACAATTTGACTCTGGGCACTTAATAGATACAATTTGTGACTATGAGCAATGACATGTTCAAACAGGAGAATTAAGGCTTCCTGTACACTTCTGCAGTGTTATCTATGAATGGGCTGTTGGCTTGTAACTTCCCATATAGAGTTGAAAGCTACCTGTTCACATGTATATGCCTGGGAATATGCTAAGGATTCTTCTGATTCCCTTAAGAAAGTGGCTTCCTCCTAAAACCTGGCTTTGCATTCCATGGAGATTAAATAGGGTTAATGAAAGTTAAAAACCAGCATTCCCTCTCCTCTCTAGCAATTTAGTACAGAAGGTTGGATTTTTCCACAAGCTGTTGCTGCTTGGTGATATGGCATCACTGAGCTGGGTACAATGCAATCAATACAAAAGCCTTATTAAAAGCAATCAAGCAGGCTGACAGATGCCGACTGGATAAACGCTGCGATATTTGCGCGCTGGTGGGGAGTACAGATACTGACCTCTCAAACTGTTTCATGCACAAAGATTTCAGTTCAGGCTTGGTTTGATCTTTCAGATTCCTGCTTCCTTCCTGGTTGAAAGGCATTCCATATTCATCTGATGTAATGTGCATAATGTGTCAAAGCAGAAACTTGTTCTCTTGCTTTATGTAAAGCAGTGGCCTATAGTTTATGCTACATTCAGCTAAAATGGTACGAGGTCAGCAGTGAACAGGGATGTTGAGAAAGCCCTCTGAGGAGAGAGCAGAGTTGATCAAAGCCTTTTAGGTGATCTTAAAAGGATGTTTTATGTGTTCCCGATTCACAGAGATGGAAGTGACTTTAGAGAATATAAGTGGAAGTCACTTGCCTCTGGGCCATGCCACAGAACACCCTTTTGAGGTACACAGGTAAGTGGATGTCCATTTTTAAAAGTCATTCAAGAAAGGAGATTCCACTATGAACATTTATCAATCACAGTTTTTAATAACCTTCCCTAATAGATCTCTCTTACATTGAAACATTTTTTAAATTGCAATTTCTCTGGTGAATTATTTTTTTCACAGTGGAGATGAAAGAAACCATTTGTCATCCTCTTATCACATAACAAATATATAAAGACTCTCCAAGTCACCACTAGGCATTGTTTTAGCTCTTTTCTCACTTCCAATGCACTGATCATCTTTATTACTGTGACAATTCCTGCCAAGTTCCCCAAATCCACAAATATCAACTTTTGGAGCACATCACTTACAAGCACTCAGTAGCATGAGGAATGAGGTGGTGATTACTTGGCTGGAGTGTTATATAGGGTCAATGTTTTTCCAAATCGGATTTGCTTTAAGAAGCCAAAATTTATTTAAACATCTATCATGTGACAGGCACAGTGCTGATTTGAGTAGCCTGTGAGCTATGTTTACTTTAGATCATTCTGCCAGAATAAAATTAATTTAACCTGGGGAGGTAGAGTAGCCTGTGCAGGCTTCTCAGAGCTTCAGTCCCCAGAGATGCTGGGTGTGGGGGTTGCAGCTCTGGGCAGAAACCACTGTGGCAAAGAGGCAGCAGATGAAGCCTTTCATATGTTTGTTATACCAACGGCTGTTGTACATAATTGCCTCTGTCACCATGATGCAGAACGTGGGCTGAAAGCGCAGGAAGATCATCTGAGCAAGTCCATCATATCAGGCCGAGTGATAGTTGTGAACTATCCCAGCTCCACGACTTACTAATAATGGGACATTGAGAAAGCTGCCTAACCTCTATGCGCCTCAGTTTCCTTATTTATAAAGTGGGAATATTAATTAGTACATTACAGTGTCTTCATGAAGATTAAGTGAGCTCATACGTGCAAAGTGCTTATTGTGTGATAGCTATTTATTATTTTATACAGTTGTCTATTTGCTACTAGAATTTTCTAGGAATGGAGTCACTGTATCTATTTCCATGTTTCCTACTATTTTATCAATAAGGTGACCAAGATTCCTTCCTTACACTCAACTGAAATCTCTGCAGTTTTAGATGTTTTTGTTGTTGTTATTGTTGTTTGACTTCCTTTCATGTCCTCTGGGGATATAGAAAACTTGTTCCTAAACTTGTTAGTCAAATATTTGATTGCTAGGAACAATAATAGGCAGCTTTGTATATACTATGCACACATTATCCCATTTAATCCATTCCCTGCCCCATGAAAGCATATTCGGGATGTTAGAACAGGTCTCACGTGGACAGCCAGGATTCACCCGAGATCCTTCTCCCCGTCCCACACTGCTGTGCTGCCCAAGACACATAGTCAGTCGTCACTTCTGCACACTAAATAGTCTCATTTGTTTTTCAATTTGGCAATCAACTATTGATACGTTAAATATGATAAAATACTATTTTAGAATATGAACCACGTCACCTGCTTCAAATCCTTTCTGGAATGAATAATAATAATGATGATGTTGGGTTACATGTGAAAGGTGTGTTTTAAATATGAGTGGAAAATTAAACCAATGATTAGTAGTAGTAGGTTCAAATTATTTCAGGTTTGGTTAGTTTTGGCCAAGTTAGAAGGATTAATGTTTTTTGTATCACCACACCTTTACTTACAGGTTTAACAGGCTTTAACTCAACATGATCCTGGTAGTAGGAGTGTGTATCAAGTCCACCTATGAAATCAACTGAAAATATAACACAGCCCAATATGAATAAGTGTGTAAATAAAAATACACATAGTACTAAATGTTTAAAGTAGAATACATTAAGAATAAGATTAAGACAATATCTGTTTACCATAAAATGGAAAAATGTTTGTTTAGTATAAATGACTCCTAGAAATATAGTCAGTGATCCAAAAATGGGGGAACTTTAAGAAACATACAAAGAACCAGGACTCTTAGGATCTGAAAAGTCAGTTGTTATTGGTTTCAGTAAAAAATAAAGTAATATTGAATAACATGGGATCGAAAGTAATGTGTTTGTCCGTAGGCATACACACATGCCCTTTCTCCCCATGTATGAGAAGATATACTTTCTCTTCTTTTTGCCAGAATCCATTTTTTTCCTTAGGAATATTTATTGCATTATTAGAAAGGCCTTTAAGAAGCCACATAATCCATTTCCACGCCTTCTGTCCTCCAGCTATCCGTGAGAAATGGACGTCTGCCTTTAGCAAAGGTTTCTTCTCCTCCCTGATAGCATGATACTTGTCTTGTGGTCTGTGTAGACTCCTAGTCTTTGTAATATTCTTTCTAATTTCTTTGCTTTGATCAAGGTCTCAATCTTTTTTCTCCCAATTCTAATATACGTGGACGATCTTTGTTTCTCCTGTTTTATGGTTCATTAAAAATATTAATTACTTTAAACCAAGCTTTGGTTGTATTATAATACTCTAAGGTTAACAGATATATGGGCATATAGGAACACTGAACTCTCAGAAGTGTGCATGCATGCCTGTATATGTGTATGTGTGTGTGTGTGTGTGTGTGTGTTTTCAGGTACACAATTTGCAAATACTGTATAGTATTCCCAGCTCAAAACAGCATTTCAGTGAACTGTGATTTAGAGAGAGATGAATTAGCCTAGAAGTTCTATTGAAGCCTTGACTAGCTGTAGCCACTCTTGGCAATCCCCTGACTTGCTCTATTCTCCTACCTCCTTTGCAGGGTTTCACCAGCTCATTGTGTAGACATGAGCTTTGGAGGCCTGTAGTGTACCCAGCAACCAGATGGCAGGGGACCACCTCCAGGCAATCCCCCTGAGACTGGAGGAGCCTGAGGCCTATTCTTTTTCTACCAGGTCACATAAGTTACCTGGACTTAACCTTAATGAGAGAAACAGCAAGAAGGGTGTCGATCTGAGACACTGAAAATGTTTCCCCCTAGAGAGTGAGCAGTGCTTAAAGAGACCATTTAAACAGTCATATTGGACTAGGTATTTATCAGACTAGATATTTAATCAAATATCTTCTCCCCTATGCTGCCGAACAATGGGTGGGATTTTGGAAGGAAGATCACATTGATTGAAAATTGAATGACCAGATAATTTACAGGGCAGGTTTGGAAGTTAAAGAGGGTGTTAAAAATACACAAAATTGTAAATACATACATTTTTGAATAAAATGGTTCAATTGAAAATTATATTCAAAATTAAATTATTTAAAAAATAAAGACAACACATAACATACATATTAAAGCAAAATAAAAAGAATATTTCTTTCATAGTGATTATATGCACACTAAAAGCTGACATTAACAGAATCATTATTTTTGGTATAAATTCATGTGCTCTACTCTTTAGTCTTTTGTCTCTAATATATCATGTCACTGGTATTTTTTTAAGAATATACATATGCATGTATATATAACGGTTTTATTATTTTTATTGTTTTTATTTATTTACAACATTCTCCAAAGTTTCTTTGTATGGCTGGTAAATCTGGAATTGTTGATGTTTTAATTTACTCTGTAAACCATAGTATTTTTATGGGGGAAATATTCTCCCCATAGGTGCTGGTAAATGCCAAACAAGTTTGTTAAATGGAGGATATATATAATGTATTTTAGCCCAGATATTTTCTCAGGTATGTTGTTTTGCCTCCATACAGAGTATCTTTCACTGGTAAAAATTTTGTAAGACAAAACCCATAAATTATCTATTTATGATTCTTTTCACTAAATATAGATGTGCAAAATTTTAAGCCTTCTCAAATCAACTTCTTTTCATTCTGGTGCAGAATTTACATCCGTCCAATTAAAAATAGGAGCTCCATCAAAAAAGTCTTTTCTCAAGTCAAGATATTTCAAAGAAAAATTATAAAATTAACTCTTGTATAACATTTAAATTCTCATTATTTAATTTATCCTCTTTTGCTTTTGTGAGAATACATTTTGTGAGGGTACATTTCAGTGTTTTCCTTTCTATAATCTTTCAATTACTGCAATTTATTAAAAGCTTGGAAGCTTGGAAAGCTGATTTTTAGGGTGTTTTGTTGAATAATCAATTTAAGCTTTCAATTGATCTTGAATGTAATGCAACTCACATGTAGAAGATTGATTCATAAAAATATTCACAACCATTGTAAGAAACTTAGATTGATTTACAAAGTATTGCTTCAAAGGCTGAAATATAATCCTAACTCAGATTGGTGGAGAGAAGGAAAGAGAGGAACTGTATTCTGTCACGCTGAAGTTCTTTTTACTTTCAACATCAGCCTCATCACAAAAACATTCTAGTTTATTTGCTCTAAACATGTGTGTGCATACCATATTTATAGAAATTTCAAAAACATTTGGAATTTTTATTTTCACTATTAAAATATTGATGCTTTATTGGGATGCAATTTTAAGTTCCCTGTGCACCTGAATTCCAAATACATTTCTGCTTCTTATGTTTTCTAACTTAGTAAAGAATACTTTGTTTTTTTTCTTTTTTTAAATGTCATGCTCCACCAAAATTTGTATTTGTATTACTTCCACAAAATGAATAATTTTATCTTTAATATTTAATTCTTAATTGACTTGCCACCACATAATACCAAGAGTTTTGTCTTGAACAGAATGAACATCAAAGAGGTTTACATTGATTCTACGAATTGAATTTAAAAATATTAACCCATTATTGAAAATAAATTAACTGGTGTTCTGTTGAAAGTATCTGATGAACTGATATAATACTGGTTTTATAAACTAGTATATAAAATTGGTATCATTATTTTAGCTCTGAGAAATTCTTCTACTAATGGATAAATGCATTCACCTGCACTTCGAGTGCTCTCCACTGACCCCATTGGCTATGGTCGGGTGGGGATAGTTGCTGGTATGGCCTGCAGCTTGCTGTGCTTCTCTCACCTCCACCTGAGGCTGGTAGGCATTAGCAAACTCCACACCCCTATCCAAGTACCTGTCTTTATCAGTAATCAGCCTGCGAGCTGCCCCTGAAAGGAAGGTGCTGGTTATGCTGTGTCTTTTAAGTTCTGGGGAAAAGACAGTAGTGTTAGTGTTTTCTTACAGGTTTAACCTTACATTAAAAGGAGGATTCTAAAAAGAAGAAAAAAAGGAAAATTCTGTTTGTTGCTCATGCATCTCACATGTCTTAACGATACTATGGCAGACACTGAAAACATTGTTTATTTACCCATTCTAGATTCTCTTAATACAACTATTAATAATAATATTTCATTGACAACTGAAAAATCTAGGACAAAGTCTAAACTAGATAAGATGCCAGGGCAACTTGTATAAGCAGGGACCGTTTCAACCAAGCTAGGATGATGTGGTCACTGCAGTCAACGGCGTTGTAAAGAGCTGTGCTTTCTCTGCATATCAGAATTCTAGTGTGATGTAATTTTGCAAACCTCAAGAAATAAAATATCACATATAGGTAAAACAAATTATCAAGATTCTAGAACTAGACAAGACTACAAAAAACCCTGAACTATTAAGGAGGACTCATTGAAAAGTAGGTAATGAAGAATCTGAAAACATCTCACAGCAGTGAGGCATTTTGACAACAGAAGCCTACAAGGCTACAAGATGATGATGTTTTCATATTTAAAGGATAGTTTATTGGCTGGGCAGGGTGGCTTACACCTGTAATCCTAGCCTTTTGGGAGGCCAAGGATTGAGGATGGTTTGAGGCCAAGAGTTCAAAACCAGCCTGAGCAACACGGTGAGATCCCCATCTCTGTAAAAAATAGAAAAACTAGCATGGGCATGGTAACTCATGCCTGTAGTCCCAGCTGTTTGGAAGGCTGAGGTGAGAGGATTGCTTGAGCCCAGGAGTTTGAGGCTGCAGTGAGCTGCGATTGGGCCACTGCACTCCAGACTGGGTGACAAAGTGGGACCCCATCTCTAAAAAAAAAATTGTTATGCATGTACCAAATGTACCAACACTTTCAATATGCTAGAGTGGGATGATAGTTCAAGTAAAGAGGTAAATTGAAGTATACATAGAGGGCAAGTTAACAGATTCTGAAAGCCTTTTTGTTAAATACATAAAATGCTTTAAGAATGATGAAAAAATTTAAAAAACAAAAGACCTAACAAAAAACTTGAAAACAACTCAGTAGAAAAGAACTTCAGCTTTTAGTTATGTTTGCAGAAAGGCAGTCATATTCCACTGATAAGAAAATAAAGCAATTATGCCTTTTAAAATTCACTTTCATGAAAGAGATAGGAGCAGAGAAGATGCTGAATTTAGTAATTTCTTCAGTGGAAATAAGAGGATTAATTTCTATGAAACATGAGAAGGAATAGAAGAGGCATGGACAGGTTTTCAAAGGTACTAGAAAGGAAGGTTAGAGTGGAAACATCCACGACACCTGTCACTTTAACAGCAAGGACTCCATACAAGGATGTTTAGCAGAGGAGATGAATGGACAGAAGGAAGCAATGTGGGTCCTACAGGGCAGTGAAGTTAAATTCTGAGTACTTTGGTTATTAGAGCCTAGAAGTGTGAAAAAAATGAACACAATTAAGAGTTGACATCAACTATTCAGAAAAGTTAGCTAAGCACAGTATCGCTTTCTACACTCGTTCTCGGAAACTGAGGTGTTACCATCAAAGATCCCATGGGGAGAGCCCGCAGCCAGGAATCCCCTTTGTCTGCAGTCCTTTCAAGCGTACTTCCTGTGCCAACTTCCATCAGCACAGCCAAGCAACTTCTTGGAAGAAATAACATT